TTACGGGCAAAAACAAAAGAAGACCACTTGAAATGCCTCATTCAAGTCTTCAGACTCCAATCGCTCCAGGACGCTGAAATCAAAACGTGCTTCCTTAACGTGATTGAACGAGATTTTGATGCCACGTAATGGATACTGTAGGCGTATGGTAGAGGATGGAAATCAGCAAGTCTGTTTTCATCTTCAGACCTCAGGAATCATCGGCAAAACACCTGCAACTGCATTCCAGCAGTGTAGTGAGTGACATTTTGTTCGCTCTTGTCCGTTAACGAAGAACATCGGTGAGAAAAGCCCCAAACAGGGTCACAACAAATGCCATTGTCACGCCAATTAGAACTCCCAAAACAGACTATCAAAGAAATCGGGACAATTGAGACGCCATTAAAACATTTCTGATCCTAAATCCCAATAACTCATGACCGAATTTATAAGGGATTTCGAGGTCATTCGACAACTTCGATAAACGGCGCTTCAGTTGGATACAACGTCTGATATCACCATGATTTCATGGATCATTAGATGATGATCGGGCTATCCCATATAACTACGCAAAATAAAATAGTTTAGAATATGTCCGGTGGACCACTACTTCTAAAGGAGGAAAAGTAATGCACGATGTGCGATTCCACAAAAATCAATTTGTGAAAACTTGTTATTGGATCGTTCACTTCAACCTCGATTTCCTGGAAATGAAATGAACTGAAAAACTGAGGATTCTCGATGCAGCACTGAACAATGTGAGTGACAATCGCCAACTGTTGAAACTTCACTCGCCACCAGAATAACATACTGCAAAACACAATTTGGCACTGGATAATTTGGCCACGGTGTTTCATGATTGGTTCGGTTGCTGTACAAATATGAAAGCACATCTGATCCCTTATCCTAATTTCATGCCAGTAATCACTCTTAACGTCCGGTTACGTATGCTGCGTTTCCGGTGGTCGATCAAGAATCAGATCGACAGCAGAAAATGGCATTCTAGTATCAGGGAATTACTTTTTAAAGACGGCTCTGATACTTACGGACGAGATGTTGAATGAAAAGGAGTGTGTTTGTGTGATGAAATCTCAAGAGAAAGCAATGTCGTCTTGGATATACGCAAGTAACCGCTGCCA